TTCTCTTCTGACTTTATAAGATAGTTAAGTTACAACAAGTAATAATTATATGTCTGTTCTAAACCCACTTTTCTGTTTTAGATCTCACTGGGTGTGCAGCAGGTAAAGGTTTCAGACTTCACACTACTCCCAGCCTTGGCCTGTACCAGTGATCTGCAAAGCTCTCCAGCTGGTCCTGGCCTGTACCAGTGATCTGCAAAGATGGATGTGTTTGTCAATGCAATAAAATTAATAATAACTGATCTACAAATCTCCTTTTTGTTCCTTTACATTTTAAACTTTCAACTCGTGTTTATCATTGTAAATTTATGTTACAAAATTAGAATCATTGCATGAAAAATCACGTACTCATTAGTGTACATTATGTTCTGTCACATTTGAAAGTGTAAAAACTGTTCTTAAATCCAGTTGTCCTGGTCTTAATGGGCATTACACACGCAGTGACCTCACAGATAGAGATGTAAACTGTGTGGTCAATCTAACATGCTGGTTAGGAAGTCTAACGTGCTCTGTGAATGTAAAAACCTCCTTGTTCCAGTCTTTTTGGGCTCCTTTATTCACAGACCAACTGTGGCGGAGCTACAAGCAGTCAGTCTGCAGAGGTGAACAGTTTCCTATGACTGAATGAGGATGCTGCTGAAGAACCCAGACACAGTCGTCCAGTCAGATGTTTGCTGAGTGCAGGGAGCGCTCCTTTCCTACGTCACTGCTACTATCGGTTCATGTGTAGAGTCATGATGGTACCTAATAGTATTGTACAGTCCCTGGTTTGCCCTTACATTAGCTCAGTCAGGTTCACTTCTAAACTTTGGAGTCACTGGCTTCTTTGTATGTTCGTTTGACTTGCTGTAAATATGTGATTATGTGTCTTTTTAACACAGCTTTTTTTTTTTTTATTCTTTCATTCTTAGCTCTGGATCCTGTTCTTGCATGTAAGTCCTTAGTAAAGTCTAAATAAAATTGGACCCATGTTGCTGCTGAAAGGAAGTCTGAGGTGTAAGTTGTTCTGTAAAGGTACATTCAAATACACAACTTGTCATTTTACAGTCTTGTTTAGTTAAGAATGTCATTTCCTAATTCATAAATCTATTGATACATAATCCACTAACAGTTAGTATTTGTTTTAACGGGTTTTCCATTGCTATTCAACACAATTTAGAAAAAAAATGTACAGAATTGTGTCCAAAGTGTGTTTTAATTTGGGAACAAACTAATCAAAAATATTTACACTGGAACAGACACACAGAAGATTTACATACATGATGAATTTAGTCTTTGGCCTTCATAATTTGCCAAAACACAACAAGCTGTGATTCCTGAGCCTCGGGAGACAGAATCCCTCTTGAATGTTGCAATAAAATTATTCCAGGAAAAAGAGATGGAGCAGCAATAGTTTTAAGGCGGCTGATATGTAAAAAATATATATATGTATGTATATATTGGGCAGGAACATGATCCATGTTTAATGAATACATTTACTCAGAATACCTTTCTGTGAGCCACTTCAAAAAGTTTGCTTTCGTGATTAACCACTGTATCAAAAAGAAGGGACATGACTCAGCTGATGACTTGACATTTGGACAAACCTAGTCGGTGTAACGTGGTTGATATTTCTGCATATGTTTGAATGTTTTAGAAGCATTCTATCGCTGTATCTGCAAAGTCTTCCAACGCACCCATCATTTAGTTCATCTCCACCGCTACTCCACTGTTTACCTGCGGGGTGCGCACTTGCGAATCACTTCCGGGGGATTCTTGTGTTTCAAATGGAAATCGCAAAAAGTAATTTAGACGATCATTATTGGTTTACTGCATTTTCGTTTTAATTGGATCCACAGAAAACCAAAAACAAACCGATATTTCAATTTTGCATTAAATTCAAATATTGAGAATCAAAAACATCCCTCGTTATTTGTTTTTTCAATGTTGGTTTTATTTAGAAAATCAAAAGAACGAATGATACACGGATTCATCACAAACAAACTAGGCAACTTCCCCATATCTTTATTGCATGTTTATTGTACATGCACAGAGAAGTCTGAATGTGCTACCACAACCAAATTACTTTGGTCAAATTACGGTACATGCATGTTAGAGTGCTGAATATATGCAAACAGGGCAATAGTCATCAAGCAATTTAGCATGAAGCAAAACAATTTTGATAAAACCATGAAGGGTCCAATCAGGTCTATTTGGTCTTTTGATAATCAGTAATTGACAGGTGCTATAAGACTTACTCTAAGGAATGGATTTGAGGAGCAACAAATTCCTTTGGTTTTCATGCATTTACTTTTACATAAAATTTATAATAGGTCTTGGACATTCAGATTTCATGCATATCCATAGACCATGTACACATTAATCTCATAAAAGGACAAAACCAGGAGTACTAATTTAAATTGAGGACGTTGAAATAACACTGAGCCTCCCCATCACCTCTGCACCCGTGTGTGAGCGCAGCAGAGCATTGAAGCACGCGTCTTCGTCACCGAGCTGAGACCTTTCCTCTGCTACATGTTTATTAACTGAAGGTGTGAAGCCTGGGCCCCTGGGCTTCACACGTACCTGTCGGACCCCTCCCCTCGGTCCTCACTGCAGGAGCTCTCCATAACACACCATCTTGTCAGTCCATTTCTCCTGCTTCTCCCGGACTCAGAGCACAACCAGGAGCCATACAGGTTTAATGACATACCCCCACAGTCTCGTGTCCCCGGGGCCCCTTTAACCTTCACAAGTCCAATCTGGTTCCTTCGTCTCGTCTCTGTAAATGTGTAAACGTGTGTTTGGTCTTTTATGAAGGTGAGGGGTTCAGCGGTTGTTGGAAAATCTGAAAATCTCATGTGACATTATTACAACTACACCGACACGGATAAAATCACTCTTACTTAGCTGTAGATAATTGATTAAGGGTTGATATTATTGATTCAAGAATATGATCAGATATGCCTTGAAACTTTCAACTTTCATTATTTTCTGTAGCATTATGTTTGTTATAGCCTTCCCCGTTATATTGTATAACCTGGACAAATAATTCTTGTTTTGTTAATTATCTATATTTTTGTTAACAGCTTACAGATCTACCATCACAAAGTACAATGGGAACAATGTCAGACAATGGAAAACTGCTGTATTTCTACACCACATTTAAGGAATAATTGAGGCAAAGTAATAACATATATAAACAAAAAACAGCCATCTGCTGGTGCAACAAGCTGAAATATGTGTAATTGATACTGTAGTGTTGTTGATACACCACTGAGTTATACCACTGAAGACAACCAGGGCCATAGGGGATGATTTGTTGCTTTTATTTTCTCTCCAGATGCACTTGCATAGATAATAAGACAATGTGAGCACTGGCATCAGAAGATGATTGAAAAGACATAAGGGCTTCACAGATATTGCAGATGGCAGTTCAAATCCATTTTTACAATCTACTAAAACTGAAACATTTTCAGACTTTGAGTAAAAGACTTCCAGATGTGTGTGTGTGAAGTGTTGCTGATTTGCGATTAGCTCACCTTTGGACCAAACTGATCAAAGCTGGAACCTTCTTTAAACAAAAGATGGGATGGCTTTGCTGACCACTTGAAAGTATTCTCTCCCTCATGCCAAGTCCCATGCACACAAAGATTCAGGATAAAACAAGTTCAGCTACAAAGCTCCATATATGCCCCTCTTTGAAGCCCCACACAGCTGTTGACAAGTGAGACTTTGAGATGACGAATAAAAGGAGCTGAGAGAGCCGACAATTAGCTACACTGTAAACACGGAGCCATTAGGGCACGGGAAAATGTAAACACACCGCTGGAAAGGAGGCAGAGTTTGACAACTACCCACTGGGATGAAGATAGGGGACTAAATCAGGCTAATGTGGGGAAAGATGGGATACAAGTTTAACTAGTAAGTAACTTGTTTGAGCGCTATGCTGTGTGAAAGACAAGTTGAGCCACAATAATGAGGCAATATGTTAAAAAAAGGCTCACTTTCTGAGGTTAGCTCAGAGTTAAAGGTCTGTTTTGATAAAAGTAAAGTAACAAAGACATCAAGGCAAAATCAACATAGGGGCTTGAATATTTTAAACATATGAAAGCATAATTTGAAGACCAGTAAATTTGACAGAAGTTAGAGGGATTTTTATATTGAAAAACACTGTCACCAGGTTTCCACAGTAATGTCCTACTAGGAACACAACAAGCTACATGTACATGCGTACACTTCATTCAAAGTCAATAAAATGTAATTTAACTGTAACCATTAATCAATAACAATTACCACTCTATTTCAACGTATTTCTGTCTTCATGCTTTGTCCTTCCTGCCTCAGCAAAACCACCTGACCTGAGAACATTTTAGCCTGCTTAGCTTTCTCCATCTTTGTCCCTGCACCGCACTATTAGACCCTGGAGTATACAAATCCAACAAATCCATCATCCCCTCACTTAATCACATCAATGGCATCTCTTCCGGCTGCATTTATCCATTCCTCAAAGTTTATCTTTTGTAAACTACCCGTAGATTTCACTCATTTGTCTATGTCTGTTTATGTCACTCCTGGTTGGAATAACATTACAGCTCTTATTTAATTTAGCTGGACTATGGCTTCCTGGCAAGACCCTGTCCAGCTCCATAAACAAAGATTTTCTTATATATCTAAAGTATGAAAGGCAATAAGAAAGATGTTTTGCTGCACGAGATGACTATGCAAATAGCTCAAGAAAATGTCAATACAAATCACGTATTGCAAACTTTCTCAAGAAAACAGCTACTTCTCAAAATTAAGGTACTCGTACTCGTATCGGTTTTGAAAAAAGTGGTATCAGTACATCCCTACTAGCATAATATGCAAAAAATATTGTGAACATAAAAACAACTTTCAAGAAGCTTTTTTTTCTAAATTTACTCCTGAAGAAAATGAGTTTGACAGAGAGAAAAACTAAAATCACAAAGCAAAACTGAAGCCTATATCTGAAATGATGAAAATCAAATTTACATCAGTACCTGGGGATTTCTTGCAGGGGCGTAGGGGCATCATGTAGGTCTGTCTTGGTAAGAGAGGAGAGGAGGGGAGGGACATGGAGCCCCCGCCAAGGCCCAGTCTGAAGATGTCATCTGGGTGAGCGCTGGCAGGGCCCAGGGGGTGCAAAACCTCAGATGGGCATTTTCTGTTCAGGTCGACTGTAACAGAGAATAACAGGACTTTAATTGTTTGCAAGAAAAAAAAAATTCAAACCTAAAGTCTGATATGTGGATGAGAATGCTCCTTGCAGTAAGGTGCTCTTCAGCCTGGGTGGTCATAGCTCAGTTGGTAGAGTGTGTGTATCCTCTGAGCTCAAGTTTGACGGTTCAAATACTGCTCCTGACAAAAACATTGAGTGGTAAGATTGGTTGGCAGGTGTGAAACGATCTCCCATTGATGATTGCTGCTGTGTGTCCTTGGGCAAACCACAAGTCTGTATGTGTGCTTAGCTGATTGGTTTTTGATGTGAAGTCTATTGAGTGCTTTGAATAAAATAATATAATATAATTCAATATAATATAAAAATAATTCAATAACATTATTATTCATGAGACAACAGGTGGTATGCCACTAGGGTCCAGAATTTCAATGGTATTTTCTTACTGAATTCAAATCATATCTTTCTTCAATTTCAAATGTTCTTTCACTTAAATAGAACTTACTACAGAATCTGGTAACATTATTGAACCTTGTTTACAACTTAGCAATTATGGAGGCATGCAGCGTGGCTTGTACCCAAATCAGCTTACACACCAAAGAAAATGAGAGATTTGCACAGTCCGTCTCATGTTGGAACTATACAGTGAAAATGTAAAGAGTGCTAGTAAAGGCAAGTGCATAAGGACATTGATATTTGTCTTTGTCAGCAGGAAATCCACACCAAAGCCTCCAGGACATTGTACTGGAGATGAATCATGAGAAAGTATTGGATTTTTTAAGATAGTGGGAAAAAAATGTGAGCTTTTTATGTCTCTAGAATCATGCTTTGGGGCATGACACGTCTAGAAAGTGGCATACAGTCACTTTTGCCAATGCTTACTTACTGCAGTCAAATGTTTTGTTTTTCAGTGAAAGCTAATATTATATGTATTTGAATGCCATGTGAATTGAAAATGAATAAACAATATTCCCATTAAAACACTACAAAACGTTTTTCCAAAGAGAACTATTGTAAAACTCTGGTAATTATAAACAAGGTGAATAAGGTCATGGACTGTGAGGATTTCTCATGCCACAGAGTTACATGGGAAGTACATCAAGTTTGTACAGTAAATAGAACCATGACATTGACGACCGAGCAAAGATAACAGGTCACTCAATAGACACTAGCAATGTTTCAGGATTGGATGTTAATGTTATAGCAAAGAATTTTGGGACAAGAAACGATTCCAGATGAGACAAGCAATTAGGAATAAGACGTGATTTAGATTGAGTGGTATACAAAAAAAGACTTTTTAAGGACTACAGCGTCTGTTCTTCTTTCTATAATATCAGATATTCACATTTTAGTGCCTGCAAGTAGACATTTCTGTATTAACTCTCAAGCCATGTAATCCAATAGGAATCAGTGAGAAAGTTGCAAGACCAGTCTCACATTGTAACAGAATACGTTGGTTCAGTGAAAGCATTTCTCTTATCATGTAACTATACACTAATGTCTTTATCTGCAAATATGCACTACTGCAAAAATCTGCAAAGGACACATAAATCACTACAGACATGTTACTCTTACCTGGAGGACAAACTGTAAAAAAAAATAAATAAAATAAATACATGGTGTGAAATGAATGCCAATAGTAAAAAGACACAACTAATTTGTTACCGGTATACAGTAAGTGCCAAATAAGGAATATTTTGCGCAGGAGTAAAAAAAACAGGTCCTTTTGTGTAATATACAGCTTAGGGTGATCGAAGCTACCTACAAGGCCTACCTACCTTTTTTTTGATAAGTAAAATTTTATTCTGATTGTCTCAACAGGAAGAGTATTGTATATATTATATATATATATATATATATATATATTGTACATATAAGTATATGCTGTGAATAAATCAGACCACAACATGCAATATTAGAAAATATACTATATTTTGCATACTTGTTAGAAAGAGCCCTGTGGGTCACTTGATGTTTCGGACTGAGAGCTGATTGGCTGAAACTGTGTGCATGTGAAACTGTTTTGAGAGATGGAGAGAGACTACTTATGTGTGGATTGAAAGCTAGGTATCTTTGTGTTAAATCTGACCCCAATAAACAAAATAATGTTGAAAAATTTAGCAACAATTAATTAACACAAAATTTAACTTTTTCCATCAATTTGCAATTTTGGTCCAGAAAGACAGGGACAAAAAGGAATTTGGAAAACCCACAGCAGACATGTAGTCGTCTAAGGGAAACAAAAATGATCGTGCGGTATTTCGGCTGCCCAGTGTTTGAGACCACAAATTAAAATACATGGATTATCCACGTCAGGATAACACATCTTACCGCACTAATAACACACATCAGACGAAAAGAAGCTACATCATAACTGCAGCCGTGGTGAACCGCATTAACGTCTTTTAGCTTTGGTTACATTTCTTTAAAGGACGGAATATTTAGGAGAACAACAGGAGACCAGCGAGACACCATCTGCAGAGAGGTTTAGTAAAAAGTCACTTAGCACAAGAAGCCATTAGTGTCCTGGTTGAGTTAAGAAGGAAACTGGTTTGTCGGGACAGTGCTAATCAGAAACAGAAAGTCTTCACCACAGGGAGCACAAAGCTGATAGTCTTTAAAACGCTGCAAAATCAAGAAGAATGCCAGACACAGGAAGCCTTAAAGAGCGAACCCACACCTCACTAAGGCTTTAGACACATGGGGCCAAAGATCACTGCAGTAAGTGGCGAGTGACATGAAACTTATAGTGTTCATTTAAGATACACGGGTTTGGGATATAGCCTGTTGTCCACAGGCAGGTACAGGTTTTGAGGGCAATGCTGACCAAGACAACAGCAAATAATGAAAAGGCACCAGATCATATAAAAAATATATGTAAACTAAAATCAAAAAAGTTGTAAATGGATGAAGTTACAATTTAGATTAAAAACCAAATATTTCTAATTCAAATGCCACTCAAGCCGCGCTACTCATCACTACTTCAGTCTTTGCCCTCTTAGCAAGACTTTTGAATATGCCCCATGATATTCACAAGTGATGATACATACAAATAACACTGATTTATACCTTTCTTAAAACGGATCAAACTGGGAGCAAAAGGATAAAATCCTGATGCACAGGCAGCTCTACCATAAATCTACCAAAGGCTTCTGTGACAGCAAGTCGCGGTTTACGCAGGTTGCCGCCATATTGCCTGGAGAAAACATTATTACAAAGTTGTAATTTCAGCAGCTGGTCCAGAAAACACAACGTGCCACATAAAAGTTACAAAGTCTGAGTGCTGGTGAGTGCACAGCCAGGCGACCAATACTGTACAACCCAGGATGCAAAGAGCACAGCAGCTCACCATGGCTATTTCAGTGCCCAAATCCCAACCAGGACCAGACCAAGGTCTGCAATTTGGCTGCCTGCTGTGGTCAAGGAAATCAACCCTTTCTAATTATATGCCGCTTGGCCTGGATGATGTAAATATGATTGCAGTGTGTAGTATATGATCCCTCTTCTTCATCAAAGTGAACGTCCAGTTGGAGAGGACAGACTCGGCCCAGAAAACCAGGCAATATTATTTAAGGACGCTGATGGACAAAAGTCAACATTTTAACATGTATTGATTATGAATGTGCTATACAAATATACTTGCCTTACCTTGCCTTGATTATTTGAGCAGGTCAATCATAGACAGCCACATGCATAATTATTGATTGTACTAATCTTCTGCTGCCTGCCAGACTTTGATGGCAACAGCCATCTTATGCTTTTAGCAACCCTAAACAGTTTAAATATTTATAAACTGTTACAATAAGGGCTCCTGCGAGTGTGATTTCAAAAGAATAGCCGCCAGAGACCGCAGTCGTTCACTCGCAAGTCATATGAATAGAAAAAGTTAGCATTGGTGTCTATGGTTACTGCTACTAACTATCTCAAACAACACAAACCTTTTAAGATAAAACATTGAACCAAACATCAAATTAGATTGGCAGTTGTCTATTTACTTATACTGAGCTAACATTGTTTACTGAAACCATAGAAATGTCTAGGAAACTTCACTACTGGGCCAAGTGGTGTATCCCGTATCCGGGGAGCACAGACTGCCATTTTTGTCCATTGCACTATCCAAACTTAACTAAGTTGGCTAATGTTAGGGGCAAAGGTGCTGGAGGAGCATAGATCCCCTTCTATGACTTGTACTGCGCATTACTTTGTTGGAATTTCCTCCTAGTCAATCATTGAACTGAGGACTGACCCAAAAACACTCCATTAGCTTCTCACTGGCTCATTTCACGGGGCATGGATAAATGAAGCCAGGCCATAATTAATTCAGATTCTTTCAGCAGACAGACAAAGCACGATGACCATAGAACAATTCACCCAATGGGAGGAATTCTGCTCTAGACTGACGGCTAATGTGGAAACCCTGTGTACTTCCTATACCGACATGATGGGTGCACAAAAGCTGTCTGAGAGGACCTATGGAGAGATAGCCAGACACTCAGTTGCAAAAACTTTATTATGACACGACTACTCTATGATCATAAAAATGTGATGTTCAAAGGTGTTGCAATGCCTGCGTCGGAACTAGCACTTTGAATTTGAGGGATCAGTGTCATGAATGGAGATGCTAATTTAGGGTCGGTTTACAGCAGTGGTCGCCATGGGATCCGTCAAAATACATGCAGTGCAAAAAAGGAACATGAGTGCAGAAAGAGCTATGTGACTTTCTCATTAAATAACCTCAGCTTCTCAGATCTTTTCACAACAAGCCACAAGTTTAATCCTGATTGTAAAACAATTAGATATAGGTCTACTTCTGTGGACCACGTCATGCCTTGAATGATGAGTGGGAAAATAAACTTTATTTATATTTCACGTTCCCTTTACTCCTGTAACTTTCATTCATTGTCAATGGCTAAATAACTCACTGTTTAAATGAAAACAGTTTAGCAAAAAATATTCTAATGTTTTGCTCTGCGTAATGTATAGGCATTTTCACATTAACCAAAAACCGGAGGTCCTTGAAAAAAATATGTTGTAAAATGTTCATATTCTTCTTTGTGAATAAAAACTTGCCATAGTTAATTATAAAGTGATTTTCTCTGGTCCTGGATGCTAGCACAGCAA